CCATGGGGCAAACAGCCTGTGTAAATTGGGAAGTCCTGCAGAGAACATCGGGTTTCTGTGTTATCAGATGCCTGCCTAGATCACCTACCACACTCATGAAGATTTCTTAACCCTCTATACTAGTCTAAAAGTCCCAAGAACTACCAGCCTCACTAGACTTAGAAGGGAGCCAATAACTGCAGTAACCTTAAGTCTCCTCATTGGGACAGGGATTGCTGCTGGGATAGGGACAGGAGCCACAGCCCTGGCAAGACAAGATCAGCATTATTCCCAGCTCAGAGCCAGCTTAGATTCAGATCTCCAACGAGTCGAGGAGTCAATTACTCACCTAAAAGGCTCCTGAGCTCGCTTCGTTGGCTGAGCTAGCCCTGCAAAATCAGGGGATTAGACCTCCTGTTCTTACAGCAGGGTGGTCTATGTGCCACCCTAAGAGAAGAATGCTGTTTTTATTGGGACCACTCAGGATTAATAAATGATAACATGGCCAAAATAAGAGAAGGATTGGAACAGGGGTGCCTAGAATGAGAGGCCAGACAGGGATGGTTTGAGTCCTGGTTCAACCAATCTCCCTGGTTGACAATCCTCATCTCCACCCTCTTAGGTCCCCTTATAGTTTTATTTTTAATACTCACCTTTGGGCCATGCATCCTCAATAGATTAGTACAGTTCATGAAGGACAGGTTAGACACCATCCAACTTATGGTTCAGAGGCAACAAGTCTATATGCACCTTAGCACTATCCCCCCAGATACCTCTGAGCTGGCTGACCAGAACCCATGATTGGGCTCCCCAGTTAGAAGACAAGGGGGAATGTAGAACCCGGAGACCGTCTTCATTCACCCGCTACCCCAATCCCTCCAGATCCCCACTAATTGCTCTTTTATCTTCTGTAAAATGCTTGGCTGCTGCTTTAGACATGCCTAGACATGCCCTGGAATGCCCTGACCCCTGCCTGCTATTCCCAACCCCCCTTCCAGGAAACTATAGATTAAGCAAGCCTGGGCATGAAAACTGCCCTATAAGGTAAAAATGGAGACTCCACTCTCCCTTACTCTGGGCTCTCCGCACAGATCTGTTGAGTTGGTGGGGTCTGAGAGCCCGAGCTTAACCCCGAATAAACCATAAACCTTTGCTTTTGCATTTTGGTGTGTTGGGTCCTCGGTGGTCTTTTTGGGGTCCAGTGGATGAGGTACAACATATATGTATACAAAAATTCAGTTCTCTTAAACAGGAAAAAATTAAGCTGGCTCATTTGTGTGGTTTGAAGCATCATCAAAGGGAACAATTACCATAATGTTAATACAATCCTGTGATGCAGAATGAAAGAGAAACCAAGACACTGAATGTATAAAATGAGGGTTTCCGCTCTCATAGTTATAGAAGAAAGTACCTTTCAAAGATTCGATATAAATTTGCCTTCAAACTTAATGACTTGACTTGGAAGTTTCTATATAATACTGATGATTTTCAAAATGTTCTGAGTTTTCACAAAATAAAAGTATTATATTTCTTCTCAAACACATTTAATCCCTTCTATACCTCTTTTCCCCAATTAACTGAAACTTTAATAAAATTTCAATAGATATAAATAACATGTAGAAATTGAAAGCAATGTTCTTTTAAAAAATTAATATAAAGAGAATGGCTATTCCAAAGCCATGGCCATTCATTTAAATTTTTATACCCACTACCAATTACATTTTTATGCACTTATCCACCACAAAAAAAAAAAAAAAACTATAACAGAGTTGAAACCAGAGAAACAATTAGCTCTTTATCCTCTTTCAAGACCATGTGTCCTTCTGCCTACATTTCATTCTTCCTCAGCACCTAATGTCTCCTAAAGTCATGTTGGTCTCCTCTCTAAATGTTATACTATATCCTTAAAGCTTTTTACATATATACATGTATAAATTAAGGATAGGATCCATTTATGAGGGAAAATACATGTGGTTTTTTTTTTTTTCCTTTCTGAGTTTGGGTGATCCCACCTCTCTTAATAGTATACTTTGTAAGTCCATCTATTTTCTTGTAAATGTCATGATTTCATTTTTCTTCACAGATGAATAATATTACATTTTGCATATGTACCTCATTTTCATTACCCATTCATCTAGATTTGGTACATTCCTTTCTGTCATAAATAGTGCAGCAATAAATACGGATGTGCAAATATCTCCATGACAGGATGTGGAGTTCTCTGGGTATATGTCAAGGAGTTGATTGGCTGGGTCATATGGTAGTTCTATTCTTAAATTTTGAGGAACCTCCAAATTTATTTGCACAATGGTTGAATTGTTTTGTGCTCCCACCAGCACTGAATAAGGGCTCCTCTTTCACTGCATCTTCTCCAACATTTCAAAAATATGTATAAAATCAGTAGAGTTAACTTCAGTGTGGTTTTTGTTTTGTAGAGAAATATGAAATGATTCCAAAATCCCAGAAGAGTGTGAAGACAGAAGGTAGGTTCTTGGATAAAATCTCTTCCTCATTAATTATCTTTAAAAACACACTGAGCTTGTATTTAATAGAATTGTCTCCAAAATGTAACTTTCAAATTAGACTCATACATAATGCTAGAGCTCGAAATACGGTTCTGACATTAACTGCCCTTATTAGAAGAGTCATAGTACCAGGGATTTCATTCATTTTTATTATTCAACTTATGAGACATAAAATATATCCTAAAAGCACATCTTTTACAAGATCACAATCAATAACAAGAACAGAATTGTCTGAGTTCAAACGGGGTTCACATATTCCATCTGTTTCTGTATTCTTAATTTTAAATTTGAATGTACCAGACTTCAACCTTAAAATGAAACCATTTAAGTTTCCACATTCTTACCTCATGAAGATGTTATGAAGACTAACAGAAAATATTAAGTATTTTAAATAAAAATAGCAGTCTTACAATAACAACTGTATTTCATTATTTGATAAAAAAATATCTTGAGATTAAATGTTGCTTATTGGCAAATATATATATCCATATGTGATATTCTAGTCTTTTCAGATTAGATTGTAAAAACTTTTGAAATAATATCTATTGTTTGTCTAGCATTTGAATTTGCAGTAATTTGAGCATACCCGCCCTGGCATAAAATATAATACTGGGAGGGTTATTAAGCACTGAGAATCTGTAAAACAAATTAAGATGAAGTTAGTCAATGCAGATGTTTTAAGAATCAGATTGATTTCAATATTTAATCATATTTACTGGCCTTAAATATCAAATTTGCCATTTCTTTCAAACTATAGAAATATTGAAATATAAAAACAGCAGAAATATTGCATATGACTCAAAAACTGGTTTTAGAATGTTTTCTTAATTCTTTTTTGTTGTTGTTAAGAAAGTGTCTTACTATACATTCCTGGCTGGCCTGGAACTTGCTATGTAGACCAGGTTAGCCTTAAACTTAAAGCAATCCACCTGTCCTTGCCTCTCAAGTGCCTGGCTTCAAACTATTAATAAATGAATTGTTTTAAATGATAACATAAAAACAATTACAAATTGTTGTCTGGAAATAACATTTTCTTCAGGTAGAGAGTTCTGTCAAAAGACATTCATAGATCAACTTGTGAAAATAAGACAGAGATAAAAAGGATGGTTTTTCTAATTTTAGGAAATGCAACGACATATTTGGCTCTTGGTGGCCTTTGTTATTTGTCCTGTGAAATGGAACCAAAAGAAAATAGCCCATGTTATCATTTCACTTCTAAATTAAAAATTTCAAATTTATAATTTTTATAAGTAACTCATTTTTTTGCCTAAAGCTCTTTTCTAATATTTGAGGATTTCATATATGTACACAATGAAATATGAGTTACCCATCCCCCATTTTCATCTCTTCCAACTTTTGGTAAATAATCCCATTTAAAACCTTAAACTCCTGACCTTTAGTAGCCTTATCAGGAATGCTCAGTGTGAATGAAGCCAATAACATTCAAATACAATTGGAACACCATTATGCAAAAAACATCATTGTGAACTATCAGTGTGGCATTACCTTTAGGAAAATCATGTGTTCCACAAAAACCTTTAAAGTCCTCTGGTTTTTCTTCTGCTAATATAGATGTTGGTGCTGATCCATGTCATTTTGTCAGAAGTCTTATATTTTTGAGCACTCACAAATACCCATGATACTTGAGGAGTGTATTAAATGCTAAACCCTCTCACAAAAGGCAAAGATATGACAGAGAATTAAAGTATCCAGATAAAGGTCAAAATGAAATAAACAAATAAAAACACAACAAGTAATAAGTTTTACCCTGAGTCATTCTTTCCTACAGTTTTGGTTGGAAGACTATGAAACAGAACTGTTTTACCTGTGAAAATAGTTAACTGTGTGAATACATTCCATTTTATGTGCATACATGTGTGTGTGTGTGTGAGTGTGTGTGTGTGTGTGTGTGTGTGTGTGTGTGTGTGTGTATCTACCATGTGTATGGGTTTTCAGAGAGATCAGAAGAAGGTATTGGGTCCCCTGGAGCTGGAGGTTGCAGGTGGTTGTGAACAACTTGTCTTGTATGCTGGGAACTGGGCTCAGGGTTTTTGGAAGAGCAACAAGCATTCTTCACTTTCCTCATTTTTTTTTGGAGTTTATTTAGCTTTGAAATTACTTTAGGCCCTTTGAACAGGGTGGATCTGTCATCTTTCAGTTGGCTCATTCAATGTTCTAAAGTACACAGTGTTTATCTGAATATTTTGTTGGAAATTGACCTACATTTGAATTCTTTTGAACTTCTGTAAATTATTTCATAGTAAAGTTACACACACACACACACACACACACACACACACACAAAAAAAAAAAAAAAAAAGACCAAAAAACAGTCGTCATTGTGGGTTCTTATGAGCTTGGTTAGTGACTATGGAAATAAACATCCCTGGTCTCCTCTCAGCCCCCACTTTCTACAACATAATGACCCATCTGTGAGGTAAGAGGGAGTAACTTCTCCTTTAGAAACTAATTTCTGCCACTCATGTAATAGGAAAACTATAAAATGAATGTCAAACTACTTTTTCAGTCTTAAAATAATTGACCTTAAGTTCAGAAAAGAGCAAGAAAGATTTTAGAGAAAGGCTACATTAGACGGACTTTTATTTTAAATACTTTAAATATTTATGACACATGTGTGTCTTCCCCTAATAAATTTTTATTCAATACATTAAAATGGTGAAAATGTTTAAGTTCTGTCTGTCAAGGTCTCCTTGTCTGTGTTTGTCTGTCTGCATCCATCCATCTATGAAAAGGAAGGCACTGTAGATGTAGCTCAGTGGTAGAATCCTTGTATAGTATACACAGACTGCTGAGTTCTTCCTTAACATCACAGGAAGGAAAGAAAAAGGAAGCATAAACATTAGCAGGAGAAAAGGGGACTGAATGCCAAGTGTTTTAAAAGATGATAAAATTTTAGCATTCATTTGCCAATATATTTCTTTGCCCTAATTCTGCCTATAGTAATTTAAAGATTATTGAACAACTCTTTCTACCTCTGTTCCTCTACTGTTAGCATTAGGGACATTTAGGTCGGATAATGTGTCTTCAGTGTTCTTTTCATTACTGAGGTCTCAATATTAAAACATTGGTTCTGAAGCTGGTTTCTTGATCGCTAGAGGTTTGTGAAGACATTAGGAGAGTTGTGTTTTTCCACAATATTTAATAAAGTTCCATAGGCTTTGAAGATTGCTCAGAATATTCAGGTTTTCTTCATGTGGCCTCCCTCTCCATCAGTTATTGTTATTTTTTTCTCTTACAAGGCCACATGGACACATATTTAATTTAAAACAGTTACAGAGAAAGTGATTATTCTTTCTCTTCTTTCCATTTTGCTAAGCAGAATGTATTCTCTAAAGTTAACAAAATGACTTTGACATTTTTTTTTAATGTGACAACATGGAAGTATATCACTAATTGTGCTTCAAACCTAAGAACTTACATCAAAGAAGCGGCCATGTTTTATTACATTTTGAATCTATCTATAAACAATTGGCAACGACTGGCTGGGAGGCAGCCCAGGAAATAAACCGCACTGGAAGTTCCCAACGTGAAGCCAAAGGTCTCTAGATGGATCTTGTCCATTTGTCTCTGCTCCATTAGCTGCTTCTTCCTTTCACTGAGTTCATCTGAAAGTCCATGGCAGATTTCTGGGAGACTCTACATCTGGCAGTTGGCTACAGTCTAGAGAGGTTAGACATAATTATACCTCACTGTGACTCTACTATGTTTCCTTCCAGAGGCATTAATTCAGACCCAGGTTATACTTAGTTGGGTAAGGGCCAGAGGAATTCAGACCACAGAGTACAGACAGCACAGGGCAGCAATAACTCTATTCACCCAAGACGCTTTGCCTGAAAGAACCCTTTCACAAGCAGTGCAAAGGTCTGAGACATTAGCAGAAGGCAGTGTCTGCTAGAGTGGCTGCATCATTCTCACTGAGAACAGCGCTAAAGGCCACTGAGCTCTTAATAGACCAGGAGAGGTAGAGGGAAAAGTCAAGAACCCTAGCTCCACATCTTGCTGTGAACACTGTAGCTAAGTACTGACAAAAGATTCTGGCAAACTTGCAAATATGTATCCCTAGATTAACATGTCTTCATTTCACTTTTTTACATTTAAGTGAAGATCTAGAAAGCAGTTTTCACATATATACAAAGAATTAGGCAGACAAATCGGGTTTTCATAAGTTTTGAAACCATAAATACATACAAAGTTTCAATCTAAGAAGGCAAGGCAATATAAAGACAGTGAATTGCCTGTATTTCCATCATGAGGTTATTAGTTTTTAAACAGACATTCTAGGCTCAAATGCAACATTATATTAAATAATTTTATTAAATTGTGTTAACAAATTGAGGTTATTATTTAAAGAGCTCACTGGCAATATTTCCCAAGTAAAAGATGTCCTAAATATTCTGCTAGCTTCTCATTAGTAGAAAGAAATAAAAAGCTTTATTGCTGCTATTTTAGTTGTAATCTCAGAGAAAGCTTATGATGTCAGAGTGGTGCTTTGGTTCAGAAAATGACAGTTATATTAAAGTGTTCACATTTGTTCTGAAGTCTTCTATTCCTACTTTTCAGCAATTCCACCTAGTCATTGATTCCTTTCTACCAACTATTATGCCATATGAAAAAATCCTATATAATTAAATGAGTTATCAGGCATATGTTAATGAATAATAAGAAACTGGGGTTTAAGATCAAGGCCAAATATAGACTTGAATACTCATGCTTGATAAACTTAATTGATGACCCTTAGGCATTTAAATGGCTTAAATACTCACAGTAGGCCCTGGCCAAGGCTTAAAATCTCTGTCAACAGAAAAAAAAATTCAGTCATTTAACACATCTCTGTAGAGTGGAAGATGTGTGCTGTTCCCCTCTTGAACACTGCTCCAACTTCTGTCCACTTAGCACACCTCTCTCACTGTTGAAGAAAAACATTGTAGAAATTATCAAGAACAGAAAGGATTAGTCAACAGGATGGAATAATTCAAGTACAAAAAAACCCCAAAAAACAAAAACCGGGGAATCCAAGGTCTGGGTTTTGGAGGGCTATCTTGAGGATGGGAGAAGGAACTAGAAACCTGTCCCTCTATCTTTTCCTGTGGAGTGACAACGTTTTCAGCAACCCCCCCCCTCACCCCCCCGCCAGGCCCAGGGCCAGCCAGGCCCCTTAGGAGGAGCTGTGAGCTCTGCCTCTTTTCAGCGCCTGCTTTACAGTACTTTTTTCTGCCCACCTCTACCACTTCCACCCAGAATCAGGACAGAATCCGCTGCAAAATCAAATGATTGGTCTCTCAGTTTCGGCTCCCATATTTCTTTCCTCCCCTCCTTTAGAGAACCCAGCCTTAGAAGAGGCAAGCCCCTCAGTGAACCTTTCAGCAGAGTTCACACATTTTGAGAAATCGTCTCACTTTCAGCTCCCCCATTAGAATTTGCCTGCATGATAAGGCTTTGGGACTTTTGGGTCTCTCGGTGCCACCTTCGTTCTTCCCTAAGTCTCTGGTTAAAAATAACAATATAATACTTTTCTTAGCAGGCAGCGCAGGGTCCGCCGGTCCCACGCCTGCTGTAGGAAGCAGATTTTTTGCGGAGGGATAAGGTTACGGCTGGTAGCCCAGGACTCCAGCGGTGTGGCCGCTGAAAAGCCGGCCTTCTCCCCTCCCCCTCCGAAGAACAGGGGCTCCTACATCCGCGCAACCAGACAAGTAGCTGATTTTTATTGAATACGGAAGCTCTTCAGCACTGTGTGCATGGAACTCTCCTGCAATTCCTTTCATTCTCAAAGTGCAGGAGCTAAGCACGCGTCCCTCGTAACTCCCTCCCATTTCTTTTGGGGGATCCGAGGCGGAGAGGAGTCGGGTGATGGGGGTGGCTGGTGGGCTGGGCCTGCAGGAGTCTCGATCCTCTGGCCTGGGGAGAGAGGCGGGCTTGGGACCGCCGGGAAGCGTGTGATTGGGTCTGACCTGGAGTCTGCTTGTCAGTTTCTCGGGCGCAGGGGGGCGCGGGGGGCGGGGAGGGGAGTGGGCGGAGGAGGGGGCTGCCTGAGCCTCGGGTCCGGCCCACTGACGGCATGAAGCCTTTAGGGGTGCTCCGGGTTTTCAGCTTTTTGCTTGAAATTCCTCATCTGCTTTCAGTGTGAAGGCTGGGCCGGGCAGAGGACTGGTCGCAGGGTCCCAGACGGCGGGGCTGCCCCAGAGGGAGAGGAGGGGGCTAGAGACAGGAAGGAAGCCAACCATCAAATTGAAAAGGAAAAAGAAAAAAAGCCCTTGACTTTTTTTTTTTTTTTTTTTTTTTAAAAACCTCCTCTCCCTCCCCGATGGCTGCGTAAGAAACGCCGGCGACACCTAGGAAAGGGACCAAGTTGGTCAGCGGTGGCAATTTCGTGGGTTTTTGAGTTCACAGTTGTGAGCTCGGAGCTCGGAGATGGAGCCGTGGTCCTCCAGGTGGAAAACGAAACGGCCGCTCTGGGATCTCACCATCGCAACCCTCGCCTTGACTTTCCTCTTCCAAGCCAGAGAGGTCAGAGGAGGTAAGAATTTAAAAAGAAAAAAAAAAAAGTTTTGGGGGACATTGCGATCCGCCTTTCCCCTTTCTGCGCACCTCCCCTTGACCGTCGCCCCCTCCCCCAGTTCTTTTAAATAAAACCCAGACTGTAGCTGCTACCAGGTTGGAAGTGGCAACTGGAGAGACAGAGATGGATGTAGGCGGGACAGTAAGGCTAGGAGGTAGGCAGCAGGATTACAAGATCTGTCAGGCGCACAGCCCTCTGAAAACGCCCTTCATCACTTTCCACTCTCTGCAAAGAGGGAAAATATTACCCTGAACAGGAGGGCAGTTGTACAAAGCTTTTGTTTCTGGCTCAGTCCTTTCTCAGTCTGCCTTTTGAACAAATCTTTGGGTTTCTTCAGGTTCTGATGGGGATATCTTTGAAGGGTGAACTGAGGAGAAAATATAGAGAAAGGGTATAAAATGAACCGTGATAAAGCTCTTTGTCTGAGAAGTAAGAAACAGTCTGATTTTACTTTGGGGGTTATAAGAGAAACGAAGGGGATGGATCTAGATGACCGAGAGCACTTTGTATGTGGCATTCTGAAGTACTTCTCAGTGGACGGCATTTCATAGATGATAAAGAGGGGTTCAGGACAGGAGGGGACACTTTCCCCCGAGTTTCAGCTTCCTCCTCTCCGTGACCCCCTCTACCACCCCCCTCCGCCTCCTAGCTTCTTCTTGCAGGTTGACATGCAGCCCTCTTGGAGATGATGGAATTCTCCAGGCAGATGGGGTGGGGGCAGAGGAATAGGAATGGGGAGGGAAGAGGAGGGGGCCGGGGGTGGGAGGAGAGAGGTAAGGAAAAGTTCCTACGTGGCACCACCAAATATTGAATGACCAGACCTGCCTAGAGGAGTGCAGCCCTGTCAGTACCGGAGGAGGGAGAGCGACTTCACTCCTCCCTGGACCTCCTCCGTCCTCTGCCCCGCCCTTTCCCTAAAAGGCATCTGGCGGCCGCGGTCCCTTAGGTGCTGTAGACTCGGCTGGCAGGCGAATGTCTCTGGAGTTCGGAGGGCCGGAGCAATTCACAATTGAAAGCAAGCTTTGTCGCGAGTGCAGAGAAAAGTTGGGGAATAGGGAGGAGAGCAGAGTCAGAGAGAAAAATGCCAACACAACTCCAAACACGCTGGTTTTAGTGGAAACCCGAGTCCAGCCCTGGGTGGAGATGTCTAGATCGGAGCTCTCCCAACTGCAAGTCAGCGCTCCGGGAGGCCCAGCTCTGCCATCCGCTCTGACGCTGCAGGACTTCACCTTCCCCAGGAGCTGGTGGCTTCTCATTTTGCCTGTGATGGTCGCTGGCGACCCTAGGGCCTCAGTGGGACTCAATTCCAATTTCTCATTGACTTCTGCTAATTATGTTGATTCACTTCCACTCCTTTAAGGGTTTGTTAGAAGCATCTTTGAAAGTCGACTGCCTCCAAAAGTTTGTACTCTACTTTTGATACCTGGTCACCACTTGGCTTGGGGCAGTTTAGTTAGCAGTTCTGCCCCCTGCTGGTTTTGTTAGCTATTGTTCGAACACAGCAAATGAGGCCTCTGGTGCTCCAACTAGAAAGGATCCCTTGGTTAAGGAAGAATGAATATGCCATTTCGTTTCACCTTGTCGCATACACATGTAGACTCGACTGTTCTAATGACGGCCAGTTATTTAAAAGCACAAAACTAGAGCCATTCCTCAGTGAAGACAGATGCCTTGTAAATTGTGGGTTACCTGAATGGGTTACCTGATTGAAGACATTTTTCTTTCTTTTCCATAGTGAGATTTCCAGTTAGCTTAAAGAATTCTAGAAAAATCAAATTTCTCTGCCTTTAGTATGTACTATTCTATTTTCACTCTGACTACATACCAGAAATACCTCCGTGCCACAACACACTCACTGTAGAAAAATAACTTTTCCTATTGGATAAAGTCAAAGACATATGAAGCAGTCAAGTGTAAGATTCAGATGCTATTGTGATGAAGTAGTTTGAAATTATATGATTAATTAGATATTCATGTGGTAAAGTTTGGCTATATTTTATGTTTCCTGGTATCTTACTTCATGGAAAGCCACATATTTTTTAATTCATTCCTTAGGCATTCTTTAAACCTATTAAACTTCAAAAATGCAATACTAGTAAAGGAATGCTTAAAGGGGGGGGGGGCACAGTCCTCACATCCCAAATCACCACAGAAGGGGAGAATGAACTTGGTCTCGGGTTCCAAAACCAGCTGTTAGAGTTGTAGATGAAGGACAAGTGAAATTTAACATCAATTTCTAAATAAAAGTATTTTATTCTTGCCACATCTTATGATTTACCAATTATCCAGAGGTATGTGTGTATGGCTCAGTGCCTACATCCAATTTAAAATGGAGCTGATTTTAATGTGAAATTGAGACATTAAAGTCTTAAAAGTTCTGGGTCCACAATGAAGTTAATCTCTAAAGAAAATCATGCAGAAGCAAGTGTTTTGTTTTTTTTTTCTTTTTCAGAAGTGAATGGATGAAGGAAATTGATTTTACATATTATTTACTTTGAAAATAAAAAGTATCTTGGAAGTCTTCAATATATTACAATCTTTATTATGATTTAGCTTAAAAAGTGTTATTTTAGTTGGTATACATTTACTTTAGCTTTAATTACTGTTTGATATATTTGCCTGTTTTACCTCAAGACTTCATAGATTCTGTGTATGTATGTTAGTCTATGACTTTTGATAGCTAAGACCTAGGATTTACCTGAAACATAGTGACTGTGTTACAACTATGTTAAGTTATATACTTTAAGAGTTTTAAATAATGGTTTAAGGAAGAACTGTCTGTAATTGAATACTATGACAGATAATATCTAATTGAACTTTTTTTTTACTAATTAAAAATGGCATTAAACATTTGGCATTTAAACCAAGTGTGTCATGCAAACTGTGATTTTAGAAGAAACTTCAATGGCTTGTCAGCAGTGGGCAGTGAGTACTGCAGGAGAGTTGTTTTGAGTGCCCGGGATCAGCAGGTGAAATGGTACTGGCTTCCAGAGTGTGTGCTTTTCCAACCTGTGAAGAGATCAAGTTTGTCTCTTAGTTAAATATGAATCAGTTAAAATCTCAGACATGCTTTTGTTAATAAGTGAAGTATTTAGTAAATTAATTAATATTATGACTTTTAATAAAATATGAGAGGTAGTTCATGAGAAAAACCATCCTGCATGGTGTATACATGTAGGATTCATTGAGGTGTTGTATATGTATTTAGATAACAAGGGTGTTTTCATCTAATGTCTGTTTGCTTTATTAATATCAGAAAGTGATAATTTACTTCCTAAGTAATAATCAACTGAAGGGATGTTTTATAAGTTATTCTTTAAAAGGTATTTCTATACTTTTGAGCAGAATTATGAAGTAAACAAATGAGAAATATTTACAAAGATAATGTGATCATTTGTAGCTTAAATTTGGGGAAGATTTCTTTTCTCAGTTTGTGACTAAAATAAAAAACGTTGTCCAAGTTAAATTATCATTAAAACGCAACAAGGCAAACACCGCTTACTTTTGTATTTGATATTTGAATTTACTTCATAAATTCTTTTTCTGGCATAGATTTTGCTCTGATTCATTTATCAACATTCTGACTTGCTTGTCATTTTATATTAAACAAGAATTCAAGAGTATGTACAATACCCTAATTTCAAAGGAGTAAAAGGTACCTGGGTGAGATTTCTTTCTGGAGAATATCTGCCAGAGCTAGAAATTGCAGTAGCTGATAATCATTTTACTCAAAAGGAAACTGAGGCACAAAAAGGTGTTATCTGAATAATCTCATAAAACATGAAGGTATTCTTATATATTAAGAGGTTTTCTGAGTGTGCAGCGTGAAGATCTTTAATACTGGTTAGAAATATACTAGGCAATATAAGTATCAGATTTGATGGAATGGCCCAGTGCATGTGCTGAAGGTTTATTTAGGAAGAATGTAGATTAATTGAAAACGGCTGTTTTAAAGAAAAGCAAACAAAATGTATGCATTTAAAAATTTCGGTTTCTTAAGTTTGAAGAAAGGTAATGTTTGATTATTTGATCATAGGTGTATTCTTAGTACATCCTTGAAGTGACCATATACAATTGTCTACCCCAGAGCAGAAAGGCAGCTATGTCTAAAATATTTTGTGTGTATGTTTATTGCTGGCTGAAGAATAAAGCATTTCTATTCTCTTAGGTTCTTAATGGGAGTTATCACACTATTCAGGAATGCAAAGAATTATGTATTTTCTTCAAATGAGGAAAATAATTTTATTTCTTCTCTTTTTGTTCCAATTTTTTATTTATATTGTTCACATCATATGGTGTTTATTCATAACGAGAGAATTATTAGTTACCCTTGGTATATGTTAGGAATCTTTTTCTAAATAGATAGTAGACTTTAGAGAAAACAAAAAGAGAGACTATAACATTGTAAATTCTTTTAAAAATGTATTAATGTATTTTTAATTGAATTTTTGTGCATTTCATACAAGACATGTTAATCATCTTTATCTCCTTCCTCTATTTCCTCTCCCTATAACAGCCCCCCAAACTGGATTTCATGCATTCTGTCATATACGTTAAGGCCTATCATGTCAACTTAGTTTACCCACATGCCCCTCAGTGTGAGTTCATCCACTGGGGTCTAGTCAGCCTGAAGATCAGCTCTTCCTCACCCAGCAGTAGTCAGCAGTGAAAATTCTAATTAAAGGCTTTATTTTGGAATGTCAAATCATCTGAAAGTATATAAATAATCTTTAACTCAGGAATAAATGGGCATTTTATTAATACAAAGAATTCAGTCTTAATGAATAGCCATTGATGACTTGTGTTTTGGACAAAAGGAACAACTTTTATTACCACATGTATAATTGTTATGAAGGGAAGAATAATTCAATTTTATGTTTCAACGTGAATTTCTAGAAATAATCTTCAAGAGCTAGTATTTTGACCAATCAATCTATTTTTCAGGAAAGGAATCTATG